CTCCTTTCCCAAAGATGCACAGAACCCAGATGGGTGAATTCTGACACTTAATAATATTTATATAGTTCTGGGCTTCAGAAATGAACACACAATCCATGGTTCTTACCTTCGAGAAGTGCACATCAAAGAGCACACAGACATGGGCAAAAAAGTGAGAAACAAAAGTCTGTAACTGTCATTAAAAGGGTTGTCAGGTATCTCTCATCAAAGACAAAACTAAAGCACACGGAGGAACAATCGGGACATCCAGCGATAGCTGGGCATGAGGCACACACCTTCACTAGAGAGGCTGAATGCAGGATGATAAAACGATGGAGTAACTTAGCCATTTAGTGAGAATCTGTGACAAAATGAAAAATTAAAAAGAAGCTGGAAATGTAGCTCAATGCAAAAGACCTAGGCTCAATCTGTAATATAAAAAAAATTATACGATAGCAGTGGTGACCTCTGAAACATTGATTTTTCTCTGAGAAAGCATTGGCAACATTAGTTGGATTAATTCATAAATGATTCTTTAAGACAAGGAGGATGATTTGACTATATGGAAATAATGACAGGATTTAAAGGCTTTGTGGTAATTCCCTGGTTTTGATACTGTTTTATAGACAGGTAAGATGTAACTACTTAGGAAAAGTGGGTGACAGGTGTATGGGATCTTTTTGTATTATCTTTCTTCCTTCTTACTCTATAAATGTCTCAAAATACAGAGTTCAAAAAAGGAACACTAGTGAAAAGTTTATTTTTACATTAATTAAATATTATACTTAATAGAAATTAGCCAAAAAGGAACAGAGCAGCCATGAGTTGTGGAATCCATATTGAATGGTATCATGTGGCTGCCTGAAACCATCTTATATCACCTTTATTTTCAAAACTTTTTTGTTTCTTCCTCATTTTATTTTACTCTGAGTAATTTGTTGTTGTTGTTGTTGTTGTTGTTGTTGTTGTTGTTGTACCAGAGATTGAACTCAGGCCCTTGAACTTATGAGGCAGACAATGAAACCACTGGGCCAAATCACCAGCCCACTCTGAGTCATTTTTATTGACCTATTTCAAAGTCATTGATTCTTCTTTTGACTCTGTCAAGTTTACTAATGAGCTCATCAAATATATTCCTCATTTCTACTCATGTATTTTTTATTTCTAGCAATTCCATTTGATTCTGTCTGCTGGTTTCTATCTCTCTGATGAAATGGTCTAACTGATCTTCCATCTGATCTACCTTTTCCCTTAGATACTGCTATAGTTTAAATATGGTCGGAATGCCATAGTTCAATTTGTGTCAAATTTTGATTTCCCCTGTGGTGGTGTTGGGAGGTGGGATTGATGACCTTCTTGTGGTGTTAGGTTTGGATCATAAATGTCCCCCAAAGGCTCATTTGTTGAAAACATGGCCTCCAGCTGATGGAGGTACCAGGAACAGAAGGAAGTCAGGTCACTGCAGAGTGGCAACACATTTCTTCCACTTTGCTATTCAGGATGCCAGGGGATGAACATGTTTCTCCTGCCGAACACGTCCGCCTTGCCACGGGACCAATTCAAACACAGATTGGAAATTGAGCCAAAATAAATCTTCCCTCCCTTTGCTTATCTCAGCTGACTAACACACACACAGGAATAACTTCACAGCGTCAGGGGACTGGATTGGTTATGGTGACAGTGGATTTTTATAAAGCAAGGCTGCCTCTCCTGTTTTACCTCTTCGGCCTGCATTTCTTTCCCTTCTGTTCTCCACCAGGAGTTGAAACAAGGTGAAGCCCTCTCTAGTACCAAGCTCTTGGACTTCTTAGGCTCCCAAACCAAGAGACAAAATTAACCTCTTGTCTTTATCGTTACCCAGTCTAAGGCATTCTTTATAGCAACAGTAAGTAGGCTGACAGACTCTTCAGCATATTAATAGTTGTTCTTATTTTCTTGTCCAATTGTTCCAACACCTGAGTCGTGTCTGAGCCTGGTTTTGATGATTGTCTTGTTAAAAACAAAAGTTCAGTAAATTGAGTTTTATAGATCTAATTGGTTCTTACTAGGTATTAATGAGTCAGGCAGCATCCCGTTCATGAAACACAGCAGTGCCATTGAGTCGAGGCAGTGGGCTTTGGGGCAGCAAAGGGCCAAAGAAGCAGAAACAGAAAACAAAATCTGGAGGGGTCATTTCAGAGTTACTTTCCCTACAGCATTACAACAGAGAGCATTTCCTTACTGTATCAGTTCAGGAAAACCTGGCTCCTTCTAACTGCTTGTCACAAATCTCCTTTTAAACAGGCCTGTCTTGAAGCTCAGTTTGATTATGTGGCATCTGCCATGAATGACTCCATTCCGGTTTGGTCCGGTCTCGGGCCTAGTGCCGGAGCTCAGTCCAAAGCAAGAGCCCCTCAGAAATTGTATTGAATGATAAAATTGATTTCAGCTGCCCTGAAAGACTGCCTTGTTGAAAGTTATATTCAAGTCTAGATTCTGTCCTGTGCTCTTGTACTGATTTTTACTTCAAAACCATAATAGTGCCTTCGTTCCTCACATTTGTGGGAAATAATTGTACTACAGGACATCAGCCCGAAATATTTAGTGAATCAAAACTATAACCCAATACCACAAAACAGACAAACAAAAACTTAAGTATAAGAAACTGAGAAGAAAGGTTTTTGTTTTGATTCAGCGAGAAGTCAGTACATTAAAAGTAACAGCCATTTACTCAGGATTAGAGGAACAATAATCTCTGTGCTCCTCAGAGCTTGCTGTCTCTGCAGCCTCTTTCCTTGTAATTTCCAGGGCTCAAATTCACCCCCGGGTCTCCTGAAGAAGGGAAGCGCTTTCTCTCAGGCTCACCTTCCTACACCCATGACCTAAGACACCATTT